AAATGTCTAGTGCTGTAGTTCATTAAGCTTTGTTTCTGTGGGCTTGATTTATTTTTAAAAAAAGCTTTTTTTTTTTTTAAGGCATTGATACAGGTTACTGTTACAATACGATCTTTAAAGAGAGAGATTCAGCTAAGTTACCAAGTATCTGGGCCTCAGTAATACACTTCACACCCTCAGATTCAGTTAAATCTAGTATTATTTTGCTTTCTTTGCTACAGGAATGTAACTAGGGAAGTCAGGCATATACTTGCACAACACTGGGACTGCTCATTTGGCCGTGCTATCACCATCTCTTCAGAAATCGCCCTAGGTGTGCATCTGCCAATCTCCCTCACTTGTTCTGTAAATGTTGGCCTTAATGAGATTCACATGTTCCAGATTCACAAGATGTACTAATAGCAGATAAAATACTGGCTCCTCTGTGACATTTCAGGTGGCTGAATTTGGATTTGTCCCTGTAATACTTCCTTACTCCATGCGTTCCTGTGTTCCGTGACTCAAACTATGTGAATTAGGATGATGTTTCTTCTACCTCTTATCAGTGTTTACAGGATTTGGGGGTGGAAGGAATGATATTTAAGACTCCAACAAGGTCAATGAAAGCTATAGATTCAGAAATAAGTCATGACACTTTAAAAAATCTTACATGATATTACTGGGTTTTTTTAGAAGCAGCCTATAATGGAGAATAATAGCAATGTGTTTTCAGTCAGCGTGTGGAATGCTGTTTATGAGGAGTCCCTTCCCTAAGCTCTATGGCAAATCTTACATGATATTACTGGGTTTTTTTAGAAGCAGCCTATAATGGAGAATAATAGCAATGTGTTTTCAGTCAGCGTGTATGAGGAGTCCTTTCCCTAAGTTCTATGGCATTTGCTTTGTTTCTTAACTATGTTTTATGTTGAAGTGTTCTATCTTGAAGAGTCTCTATAGCACAAAGCAGAAGTGATCTAGTTTCTGAAATTCTGAATAGCAAAACAAACTGTTTGCAGTGGTAATGCAGGCAACCGTTTCACTGGAAAATCTTGGTCAACAAGACTCTGAGTCTCCAATTTGATTATTTTGAGACCTTTACTCTCATATGTAGCCCAGATGAATGTAGTGAGATCTGAACAAATAGCTGTTTGCAAAATTTGCTACTTATCTGTTTAAAACAAAACCAAAACAACTCCAAAAATCAAACAGGAAAAAACAAATGGACCAAATCCAAAACCGCTTCCCTTAGGGGTGGGAGGAGGATAATAGTTCAAGTGTCCTGCTTTTTTTGAAATTATAGGAATGAGTAGGAACTGAGTGGCCGTAGTTCCAGACTGTACTCTTTTGTACCAGTGTGAGACTTTGTTTTCCATATCAGTGTGGTCAACATACACGCTGTGAATTAACAGATGCTAATCAGGTAATTTTATTACCTCATATTGAAAGACTTTGCTGTTGTGTTACATTATCTTTTGATAGATCAAGACAATTAGGATTTAGTCAGTGAAGTGACACACATATTTCAGAACAAGACAGATGTTCTGTATATGTTAAATTAACCTTTTGAACATGGAGCAACTTTCATTTGTCAAACATCTTTGAGCAAAATAAGCAAAAGCTGTTTACTTAATCTCTGATGAAGTTTATGAATTAAAATATCCAAAACTACTTGTCACTAATAGACCAATTAAGTACATATGAAGGAAGCTAATTTAACAGAACTGACATGAACATACAAATTTCCTGTTAGAGTCTAATGTGAAGATCTGCTTTAAATGATTGACGCTTAATGTGCCTCAAGTATACTTTGAAAGCATATGCAGGAATTGAGCGTGTTTGCAACCTACCCAGGAAAGACTCCTTATAAAGTGCTAAGAGAAGTGGTTGAAACAAAAAATACTTGAAACAGGTACACTAAAGATGCTGTTTGTCCTGCAGAAAGGCTAGATGAGCAATTTTGGCCCATAAAGTGCTGGAAGGAGACAAATTGTGGAAGATTATGCGTGTGCGGAGGAATGTATTTGATTTTTCTTTCATCTGGAAGGATCACCTATTTAATTAGGTCTAACTGTGCCAAATGGAACAAGAATTGCTACTGGGCATTCCAGAAGTATGGCCAGGGAAATGCTTAAGGGGAGGGAAGAAGAAGTGCTGTACCATTAACCAATTTGAACAGGTGAAGTCAAAGGTATTTTTTTAAGATTGATCCTCTCAGACGTATCTAATCAGGAAACTCAAAGCTGAAGAAACTGTAGGGTTGTTTTTTCATCTAACTACCGGTCAAATCTGAAAACAATGCAAATGGATACATTTGAAAAAATGAGTGTCACAAAATTTTGTAACTTACAACTTTGTGGGAAAATGACAGTAGTAATTTTCGACTGTTGGTAGCATTCGTTTCAAATATAGCAAAGAAATGGGTAGTGTGCCATTATATATGGATAGGGACAGACAGGAGGGGAATTTAAACCAACTAAACTGTTTAGGGATTTGTTGGTGATTTTTGAGACCTAAAGCAACTTTTCAAACTTGTGAAGTCATGAAACTATTCTATGCATGCACGACAGTGCTTCTTAGCACTTTATTTGCTGTATTTTACATAAACAAAATTGTCAACAGATTTTGGTTGCCTTTTCTCATGGTAGCTGCTAAGCACACAAGACTCTGACTGTGCTTCCTGCTGGTAGTCTGTACTATCTGCCCAGAAATTACTCTTGGTTCTCAATTTTTATTTCACAGTGTATCTGTGGCAGCATCGGCATTCATCAGAAAGTCAGTAGGCAAAATAAGACTTGGTGTTCTTCAGCACAGTCTGTTTCACCTAGGTCTGGTGGTGTTCCTGCAGCAGACAATACACAGCAGCTAATTGTTGCATAATTTGTTGCCTTAGAAAAGGTGATCAAAAGAATGTTTATCAGAACCAACTTGAAATTAGACGAGCTGGACTAATAATGTTAATCTTAATAAGATTCAGGAACAAGCAGATGAACAAAGTGGTATTTGTGAGGCTTTATGCTTACTTTGTGAACTCGGCAACTGAACACAGAAAACATGATCAGAAACTCTAAGGGGAAAGGGAAAGTAACCCCCATCAAGGAAATATTGTGCATGGTATATTGTAACTTCTACAGTCATCTTGCATTGTGAGATAATACTGCAAATACCAGTTGAGTTCTAGCCTTACAGGCAGTGTAGGTGCAAGACTGATTAGGGATTGATACTCATAACTATGTTACCAACAAAACTGAGTGCATGTTAGTGAATGTAATGAACCATTAGAAACTAAATATAATCCATAGTCAAATCTGGTTAGGATTCATAGGCATAAAGGACTGACAAAATAGCTGTAACAGCTCTAAATCAGAAATCTAAACCAGAAGCAGCACAGACCAGACCATTAAAACTGTAGCACAATATTGCAGAGGATACACCTGAAAGATGATACTATTTTCTATTAAAAATGCTTGAGTTTTGTTTGAGGTGCTACCACAGCTGCTAAGGTTCACAGTTAACCTCCTAAGTACCTCTGCTTTTTCCTGAATAGGTTGCTCACGAAGACATCTATGTTGATGAGAACTGTATACCTTAGCTACATGCAGAACATTAACCTACTCTTTTCCTTCTGAGATAAGGATCACATGGCTATGTTATGTTTAGGGACATACTGTTTTGTCTCTCTGGCAAAAGAGAAATCAATAGAGGTACCGGTTCAGGTTATTATGAGGTACAGCTGCAGCATGCTGAAAATCTAGTATCTTGAATTCCTCATCTTGTGAGTGATCTAGGTTTACAGGGACATCCTGTAATGCTAGTGAATAAATCACTGAACACACCTTGTTATGCCCAGAAGTGGTTCTGTGTCTCAAAACATCTGTAGCTTATTGCAGCTGTGGTACTAATGTCTGGAGGTTTTTTTTGCTGGAGTCGTGTCAAAGCTTTGATTTCCGTGTCTTGCACCCTTTTCAATCAAATGGTCATGTTTGCTGTAATGACCCTCGTGGGTTTTTTTCTTACATAGAATCACAGCAACATCTTGTAGGGCTGCTCTAATGTGGCAGGTGGCCACAGAAACTGGCCAGCACTTTGGCTGAGAGTAAATCAAAGCATTCCCTAGTCATGTCCACGGATGGTGCTCTATCTTCTCGGAGGCGCTCACACTGCTCTTTCTGCTTCTACAGTTGCTGTGCTGCTGGCACAGCACTGGCACTGACTCTCCTATCAGCACCTACTGACAGTACATTAGTTCCTGTCTTTGCCTAGCCAGATAGCCTACGGTTTCATTTATCACTGCACACTCAACCATTATACCGTTTCTGACTGAAATAGCATTTTCCCCTTTTGTGTCAGGTAAATCTGATGTTGTATCACTGAAGCTGGTGAGTTTCGCTACCTGAAAACTTCTATTAATTATGGCTTATTCACTCTAAGATTCTGAGACAGAAAAAAAAATTCTATCCTTAACATTTTTCCCAATAAATACTTGCAATTCTGCTGATTTCATGCAGCTTGAGCCAGGGATAACCGTATTCTTTGACTTGCAAAGGAATCAATCCAGGATCTGAATACACCATCTACTTAGAAAAATCTTAAAAGCAAACTGCAGCAAAACTGAAGTACTTCAGTTCCAGAGTTCATCGTGTTATTTTCCTTTTAGCTTGCTGAGGTGTACTCAAAACACCTAGATATTTTTGTAGTCCAAGTGTCTTACTGGCTGCCAATGTAAAATGGAAGTATTTGTGGGATTCTATTATAGCCCAGGAAATCAAAAGGCAGTCCAGCAGGTGTGTATATAGAGATCAATATAGCATTTCAATAATGGCATCATTATGTACTGTGTCTATAAAGATATAGCAAACTGTCAATATGAATTCTGAACCTGAGCTGAAAGACTGATACATGAATGACACTTCAGTGTGCAGATGGACCTTGAAAAGGCTATTAGTTATTCTAGAAACCTGATATACCTATTATATTATCCATTATATTATAGTCCGTATATAGAGTAAACCAAAGATATTTACCTTCTTCTTTGATCTCTCTGACTTCTTGGAAACGTTCTTTACTTTCGTATGGAGATGATATAAAACCTTGGTGGGGGGAAAAGGAGCAATATATTGAATAGGAAATTGAATTGTATATATTAGTATTTGAACTTCTCATACAAGCAGCAAAAATTAAAATAATTGTTTTAAGATGACTTCAACCAAAGTTGAATTTGATGCTTTGAGACTTTTAATTCTAAGCCTTCCACAGTTCTTTCTCCTTCAAGAAACAAGGTTTGGAAAAAGCATTAAAACTGCTATGCTTCCAGAAGATGTAGTTCAGCATTTATTAAGAGTTCAGCTGGCACTATGCTGAAATCCACAGCAGTCTTTCCGTGGATTTTGACTTTTAGATTGTGCCTCAGACTATCTACATTTATTGTCTAGGCTGATTATATACACAGGCAGGGAGCAGGCTGCCAGTACTGTAGGTACCCTGGTATGACTGTCCTGCCTCTCCTGAATGCAGCACTAACAAATGGGGCAGTTGGGGTGAGTTCTCCTTTCAGAGGGAGTGTCATAAGAAATGTTAGAGCACTATAGGGAAATTCTTATTTAACAACATCTAGATAAAACTTTTGAAACCTGATTACAGCAGGGCAGTAACCTGGCAATGTTTATACTTTGGCCTTTAGAGCTAACAGACTGAATTTTCTAAAGCAATAAATGAACAAAAAAATGCCTCTGTTAAATGCAGCTTACCTTCCAGTTTCTGCTGTGCTCGTCTAGGGCAGTGAGGGGACAAACAGCTGGAGCTACAGTGACAGGAGTTAAAAGCTCTACTGGCTTTTCCCTCTTGTGACAAGCAAGGTCTGAGGTTTAGAGATTTTTAGCTGAAGTCTAAGTGCATTGTCCTGCCCTTAGCACTGATGGTAGCAGAACAGATCAGTATTGTAAGTAATGTGTTTCTTGATTGAACAGGCATTAACTTAAATTCCAGGAAAACTTTTTTCTTCCCCAAGAGCTTAGACCTGCGACTGACTAGTGACAAGGAAGTCCAGTCCCTGGCAGTCCAATGGGTACTCCACAATAGGATATTAATTCAAAATTCACAGAAAACTTATTCTGCGTGCTAGCACAATTCGTTCATTTACTCTGTCTTAAACATGCTAAAGATCAGTAAGGGGACACCAAAAATTTGAGCGATAGCAATCCACAAGAAAGGAAGAGATTTCTTGTTGAATAAAACTGATCCTAAGATCTCTTTTTGCAAGTCTTTGCAAGACATAGTTCATGAGCTTCCTGTCAAAAAAAAAAAAAAGGGAAAGAAAGAAATTGAGGTTATGTCTTTATATAATACTGTTTCTGTACACTCTCTGCATAGCTTCTTCCTCCATGGGTTTTCCATCTTGCCAGGGACAAACAATTGTTATCGAGAAAGAACAAACTGAAAAATAGGAAAGCCAGCAAGAATCTTTAGGGGATTTGGGTGTCAAGCTGGCTGTCAATTTAGCAGTTGTAATCCTTTTTGTGAGCTGGTATAACGTCATTCTCTGTTTTCCTTCCCTGCCTCAGGGAAATACTCTATACCAGGAGAGAATATGGGAAGGATTGCATCTATTATTTGTTGTCTGGGTAGCTTGAGTGTATGCATCCAAGCCACCAAGTGTCTAGGAGTGACCTTTCCCTCTATTTAAACATTACTTGCATCCCTCTCACCCACCTTGGCATAGCAGCAGGTAATGAGCACCAGGGGCAGGAGATATCCCACAAGGAGGATGGTAATCTTGTACATCTGCTTGCCTGTTGAACCATCTGCCCAGTGCTCCCAGCAGAAGGAGCTGTTGGGTGCTTGCTGATGACCACTCATGAGGGCCTGGTGCTGGGCCACAGGGGTGGCAATGAGTAGAGAGAGCAGCCAAATGACACCCACACCAAGGGCAGCGTTGCGCTTGCTGCGGATGCAGAATGAACGCTTGGCATGGACCACAGCAATGTATCTGTCCATCGACATAGCCACCAGAGTAAAGATGCTGACCAGCATTGTTGCCATGGCCAAGTAGTGAACCCACTTGCAAAAGAAGGCACCGAAGATCCACTCTGGCAGGGAGTAGATGGTGGCCTGGAAGGGGACGCAGAAGACCAGAAAGGACAAGTCTGCAATGCTCAAGTTCAGGATGAAGATGTTGGTAGTGCTGCGCAATGGGCATCCCCCAGGCCGGAGACGCCCCAAAACAACCAACACCAATGTGTTTCCCACCATTCCTAGGAGAAAAATCAACCCAAAAAGCACCGGTACAATCACCACCTCCGGACCGCCCCTGGTTGCTACTGACCAGCATGTTGGGCCCCCTGTTTGGTTAGTCTCAAGGCTGCATTTGCTGTTGTTGGCTTCAAGGGAAAGCATAAAGTTGTCTTCCTGCTCCTCCATGGAGCCAGGCTTCTTGGAAGGCAGGGAGCAGTTGCTGTAGTCCTGACTGCGATTGGGAGGGTCTGTGTTTGTTAGTGGTGAGGCTGAATGCTTGGGTTTTCCAATCGTCTGTGTCTTTCCTTCAGGAAGCGATTTTCCTCAGGTGATTCTTCCAAGCTCTGTCTGTCTCTGGTGCAGATTATCCCAGGAACTGACCAAAAAGGGAGTTGAGGAATTTTTCTCATCCAAGAGGTAAATGCAGGTTTGGCAGTTGGTGCTGGAGAAGTTCATGTGGCAGAGGAAAAGTCCGTGCCAGAAGGGCTGAGCATGAGGCTGCCCTGGGAGATTGGAGCAGAGGCAAAGCAGCTGCAGCTCAGCTTCCTCATGCTCCTCCTCTTCTGCTTCCCTCCCACGCCAGTCCCTGGATCCAAGGCTGTCATACCTGCTTTCCGAGCTCTGCTCGGAGCCGTGGCAGAGAGAATAAATGCTGTGTGTGACTTGAGCCCTTCAGAAAATAACCCCTGATCTGCTCTGTCCCCATATATTACTATTCACGTGGAGGGGAAGGGCATAGCAAAAACAAGTTCTCATCCAAAGGGCTGGGTCAAGCAGCAGCTGCTGAGTGATAATGTGTGCAGTTCTGTGAGGAGCAGCTTTGGAACTGGCTGCGTGAGGAGAAAAAAGGCTAAAATACGTTTTTTATCAACAGAGCAGGATTTTTTTTGTTTCGTAGTCTTTAATGTGCTCACATTAGAGCATAAAGCAACCTGAATAGTTGTGTTTTCAGCACAAAAACTTGGGAGAGCTTTAGATTCAGCAGCTGGATCCTGCCGCTTGGATATCTGCTTGAATTCCTTAGTGCCTGAATATTCATGGATCTTGTTGATCCAGCTCTAAAGAAGTTCCAGGTTCAGCCTGGTAGTGCCAAGAGCAGCTGCACTGGAAAAGAAAAGATTCAGTCTTGGTAGCTGTGAGCGGCTGTAATATTCCCTGCCAGGGAACAGAGACAGGGATTTAAATAATAATAAAAAAAGTTAAGGATCAATGACTTAGTTATTGTGGGTTTTATGTTTACTTATAGAAACAGTACATATGTTTTAGAAGGCATTAAGTAACTTGGTTTTGATGGTCTGTTTCCTCATATTTCTTAAGGGATTCTGCGAACTCTACAGGCAGTAAGGAGGGAACAAAAGTTTAGTCAAACATTAATAGTACCTGCACATAGTGATTTATGTGCGCAGGACAGCTTCTTGCAGAGAAGAAACACATCTCTGTTTTCAGTGGTTACAAGTTTAGGCACTTGTTTAGAGTGGGCCACCACTGGCTCCTGTGGATGTTAGACTGGAGGGAGCCCCTTAATTTCTGAAACAAAATTCAGTAACTGAGAGTTGCCCTGCCTTGTGACTCATTTCTAAGCTCTTGTTGAAAGGTGATAGTGCTGCCTCCCTTAGCCTGCTGTGATATACTATTGTTTACAATCTGTTATGAAACTAGACTCCTTATTTCCCCTCATAGTTTTGAGGCTAGTTATGGGGTGAGGTGGGAAGTGGCCAGGGAGTGAAAGATGTCAAAGTTGCAGTGGAAAAATTTATCTACCCCTGTTGCATGCCAGTGAGCAGATCACCATGGCTGGACCAGGTACCTGGATGCCACCTGCAGCTGTCTTGGTCTTCTGCGACCCGGCTGCCACGAGTGCTGTGGCACAGCACCTCAGACACCATTAAGTCTTCCAGTTCCCCAAATCTTCGGTCTGTTTGCTGGCATGTCTGCCCTAGCTTGCAGAGAGCTGCTTGCAAAGCACGACGTTTCAGGGACCCTGCAAGCTCTGAGTGCCATCTACTGGCATTTCACCTCCTTCCAGCCAGCTCCTGTGGCCGTCCTTGGCCTTTCTTTCCCTCAAAACTACAGTCCCACCGTTCAGTAATTAACTCTATCTGCGGTTGTTTTCCCTCTTATCTTTGTACACCCTTAAATCATGAAACTTAAATATGCTTGCTTTTCCTTTTGTGATAATATATGACCGTTGTAAGACTGCTTCTTGTAATACTATTAATATAATTTCATGTAAAGTTTTAGAGAAGGCCATTGAAAGTGATTTCAATAGCTATTTCTGTATTTCAGATCTGTTTGGGTTTTGATTTTTTTCCCTTTTCTTTAGTAGGCAGTCATACCAGAAAGTATTATTTAAGAAGCACCCATAGCAATCACAGCAAATGAGAGTGTGCATTTTTTTTCTTTCAGTGGGTTTGGGCAAAATAATAAAAACTGCAGGACGAGTGGTTTCTGCTGCAGAGGATTTGAGAAAATACATGCAGGAATTTGAGAACTGCATGCGTGTGTCACCTGCAGAACAAACAGAGCTTTGCAGATCTAAAAGATTGCATGGCACACTAAGTGGAAGATGGGCAGAGGACAGCACAGTTCTAGCAGTGAGGAGGCACAGATGATAGGATTATGTAGATTTGTAAGAAAATTTTTCAAAAATGTCTGAAATTGTTACAGAAGGGATATTGCCAGCTTGCTTTTCCATCTTCAGAAGCCTATTCAATTTTTAAAAAATACTGGAGTACTGCAGGCTTTTTTTTTTTTCTTCGCATTTCAGTGAGAGTGTTACAACTGGGGGAGTGGGAGGAAAGGTGAATATTCTGGATGGAAAGTGGCAGTGACCTGCTGAATTAGACATCCAGTAAACTAGGTGCAAAAACTCAGCTTGCTTTCACTAGGGAACAGAGATGCTGCAAATCTGACTTCAAATGGAGGCTGACTGGTGTGGGAGTATTCCTGTCTGGTCTTACTTGGGAGGAAATAATTCCCAGAGGTAATTTACATGCTTTGCTGAAAACTTATCCTGAAGCCATGCTTACCATGGCATTCAAAAGTTCCAAAAAAGGGAAAGATTTCTCCTTCTGTTTCTCTCTTTCTGACACTTCTCAACTGCTTTAAATGGTGTATTTTCAAAAGGGAGAGACCCCTTGTCCTTCAGAATTCTCAGCCCAAATGCAGTTGGAAGGAAACTGACGGTGCTGAGACAAAGTACTTGCCATAAGTCACCTTCATTAGTCCAACTAGGGGAGAAGATCAAGTCACTTTACTGAGTGCAGGAGCACAAATAGCAAGTGAACCTGCAATGTCTGATTTACTGGGAGCATCCACATTGTGTGTGGTGCTTTAAAATTTGTGGTATTTCACTTGAAAACCAGAAACAATTAATACAGTGTGGATTGAGCTGCATGAAATAGCTCTACAAATTCTGCTATTCTTTAGAAACGCTGTGGCTTCCTGGATGAAGACAACAAACACTTAAATATGAGTAAGAGAATATAAGAAAAGGAAACTGAATATTCTCTGTGGGAGGGAAAAAAAAGGTAGAAGTCTGAACAGACATCACCTAGGTCAAGACTGAACTGGAAGCCAGATGCTGTTGCCTTTGTCGAAGTTGAAGTTGGGCTAAATGAAAGCATTGAACTTGCATCCTGAGCCCCTGACTAAAGCAGAAGTGTCTTGTTGAGAGAACAGCACTGGACCTCTGTGGATAAATTGGCGATCCCACAGTAAGGACGGAGAATGTCAGCCCTAGGAGCAAGGGTAGGGGGGAAAAAAACCACAAAACATTAGATGGTAGTATTTAAATGGTAACATTTTTAGTCTGTGTAGGTACAAACTAATTTGTCCATTTTCTGATTGCTAATGGGTGCTTCAGCTCCTAATTACAGTGAATATCAGGTATGTTGTAAATCACTTTTACTGTTTTGAAAGTCATGGTTTAGGTTTTTGACACCCATGCGTTAGCTCTCTAAACCTCTTGGCTTTTGAGTGGACGGAGGGCACTCAAGCACAATAGTGAGCAAGAACCTCTCTCTTCCCCCCCCCCTCCCCCCCCATGAGTTGCATCTCGGATCCAGATCCATTTAGAGGAAAACAAACAGGCATCCAGCCCCAAAAGTCTAGTCTGATAAATCCTTCACATGACTTTCATGTCTTCCTTACTGGACAGGTACATGCATGGCAGTTATTGCTGATTATAAATGCCTACAAATTACTTTTGCCTTACGTAGAATTTATAATAAAAAAAAACCTTCTCAATTTGACCAGCCAAAAGCATTGTATCCGCACTTTGTTTGCAGACTTTCTTGTGCAGTTTAATTTTTGATAAGGCAGTTAGAGTAGTTTTGACACTGAAATCAGGAGTAAAACTCCTTAATACCAATGTAGTATTAAGAAGCAGGTATTCTCTTTATTGCAGTGCTGGATGCACAGGGGATCGCTTCACCTAACGTACACATGGAGTAAAGTGAAGCGACATATTATATACAATAAAACATTTGCATATTCATAGTACACTACATATACATTGTTATTCACACTTAGGATTGGTTATAAGTTTCTTGCTTTTAATGTAAATTAGTACGCATCCTCAGTTAGCACTAGTGAAGCCTCTATATTAACTACGCATGCTCCCCAAGCGGGGTTTTGCCCTCTTTCAAGGGGGCCATTTGAGGTGGAGGTCACAATCTCCCACTACCACAATTACCTCTGTCCTGCTCTCAGCCAACTTATTGTTGATGTCTGTGGGTTGTAACGTTTTATCAGCTTGGCTCCCTTCATGTCTGGAACTTCCTCTCTTGAAGGCCTCTCTCTGCATTCTTGCCTACTGACTTAGATAACACTGTCCTCCCTTCTATCATTTGTTCTTTTCTTGATGCTACCCAACCTTGAGATGCCAGGCTAAAGAATGTGCCTGTTTTTCTGTTAATTTAGCTCAATTATTTAATCCTTTGGTATCAGCTTCAGTATATGTTATCCCTCTATAATTGCTGAAACATACAGTGGTCTTCTGTTTAAACAATAAGGCTTCTAATTCCATATTGGCATGCTTTTCTTAATTTATACACTTACTTCGGAGCTTATAGCAAAAACTCTTGCAACCATTTAGTCTAGTTATAATAAGGTATTTTCTAAAGCAAGTACTTATCAGTTTAGCAAAGCTTATTATTCATTTATGAGTGAGTAACAAATTATGATTCTGACTCT